CTATGCCCGGCCTGGCCAGAGGCATTCTGCAGCTGGGCACAGAACGCTTGCCGCCTCGTTCTCCTCTGCACCCCCATTCGCCCCCCCGGCTGTTCCATGCCCGCTGCCCAGAGGCCCTCCGTGGCCAGGGTGGAACGCTCATGCTGCCCACTCTCAGTGGCCGCGCTCCCCCCTCCCCACCCGGGGCTGGGGGACTCCGGCAGGGCTGAGTGGACTGGGCGCTGCCATCTTGTGGCTATGGGCACCACCATCTTTGTGACGGAGTGATGGTTAATTTGCATATTATCCTTTTATTTTATAAGAGGATGCCTTAAATGAAAAGTGAGCAAATAGAAAAATATATGAAAGTATAAAGTATAATTCACCACAAATAAATTTTATGCTAGAAATCTGGTTATATAAAAAATGAAAAGCATTTTATAAAAGTAAACTCATTTTTAAAAAAATCTCTAAAAGTAAAAGAAAATAGAATTCATAATCTCTATATCTCATATTAGTAACTAACATCATAATTAACAATATTCTGGTGTTTTTAAAATCAGGAGTTCTGGGAAGGTAAAGCCAATGTAATAAAACATAAAAAAGAAATAAAACAACAGCAAAAAAAAAAAAAAAGATGGTAAAGGAGAATAAAAATTTATAATGGATTTCAGAAATGGTCATTCTTTAGAATAAAAGAAACAACTACCATTGAGCAATCATTATGTGTTTTACATTGCACTCAGCTACTGACATAGAGCAGTATCGCCCATTACTCCCCCGTCCTCTGAGGGATGTTTTATTACTAAATAGCTTTAGTTCCTTCATTTAGTTCCATTTTGAGTGAATTTTACATGCAGTACGGTAAGGGTTCATTGTTTCTGCATGTGGATCTCCAGTTTACCCAGCATCAGTGGTTAAAGACTGTCCTTTCTCCATTGAGTGTTCTTGGCACCTTTAGAAAATACTTGGCCATATATGTGAGGGTGTATTTCTGGGCTTGCTATTGCATATTGGTCTATATGTCTCTTCTTGTCAGTATAACACCGTTTGGATTACTATAGCTTTGTAGTAAGTTTTGAAATCAGGAAGTATGGATCCTCCAACTTTGTTCATTTTCAAGATTGTTTTGGCTATTTGAGGTCTCCTGAGCTTAAATGAATTTTAGCAGAACTTACTCTATTTCTGCAAAAAAATTACAAAAAAACCGTGGAGATTTTGGTAAGGATTGCATTAAAACTAGATCAGTTTGGGTAATAATTGTCTTCTTGACAATAATCAAGTCTTCCCATCCATGAATACAGAATATCCACTTTTTTATGTCATCTTCAATTTCTGTCAGCAGTGTTTTGCAGTTTTAAGTGTACAAGTCTTTCAACTCTTTGGATAAACTTAATCCCATCACTTTTCATGTTTTGTTCATTAGAAGTGAGTCACTAGGTCCAGCCCACATTGATGGGAAAGAGGATTACATAGGGCAGGGAAATCAGGAGTTGGGGTTCATTGGGGATCATCTTAGAGGATGCCTACCACAGTGATCTGATTGCTGACTCTCTAAGAGAGGACAGTGATTTGCCCAGGTTCTTTCATTTAAGAGTTTGCAGCCAATGGCTTGGTCTCTCTTGTGGTAGGTATCCACCCCTATATCCAAAAACTGAGGACATGGGTGGTAGCAGATTTCCTCAAAAAGAGCCTACGTAAGGCATATAACAAATTGCTTCTGCCTTGTTTTCTCTCTCTAAGGAGTTTTTCTGGTCATTATGAACTAACACGTGATTTCCTTTTTCAGAGCTGTAGTGCAAGTGCCCTACAGGCAAGATTAAAAGTAGCTGCACATGAAGCTGAGGAAGAATCTGATAATGTTGCTGAAGATTTCTTGGAGGGAAAAACTGAAATAGATGATTTTCTCAGTAACTTCATGGAAAAGAGAACAGTATGTAATATTCTTCGGTTAGGACAAGTGACAGTATAATATCAAATTAAGTATATTCATAAGTAAAAAAAACGTTAGCACATTGCTGAGCTGGGGTTTTGAGTGCCATGAAAGAAAACTGAAAGAGCCTCTTTGAGAAAGATGGCAGCATCCTTCTATCACTTTAACCTTCTGCTTGTGAGTACACAGCAGGTAGATCAAACAATGGTTCTTTTTTAGAACTGATAGTGTGTCATTCTGAAATAAAGCTAGTAAATTAGCTTTAAGGTTGTGCTTAATAGTTGTAATATTCTTCTGTAATAACTTGTTTCCAGTTATTCTAGGAGAATGAACTATAGAGGTTAATTTTTTAAATGTTATTAAGAACATTCTGGAATAACTTCCTGTTTGATGATTACTAGTATTTCCATTACATTTAAAGAAAAATCAGAGTCTGCTTGGCAGTATCTTGCCCTTTGATAAAGTCCTTTATATTTACCTAATTTTTCTGAAACACCACATTTTAAAAATAACCTTTGTTACTAAACTTTGTAAAACATGTGCTATATATATGCCTATTCTGTTAAGGAGGGTGGGGCAGGTTTTATTACCCCATTTCCCATGAGAGAAAATTGAAATTCAGGGACATTAACAACTATGGCTGTAGCATTAGTAAGGCATTGATTTTTCATCTGTTGTTCGTTGGTACTATATAACTGCACCTTGAAGTATTTGTTTGTTAACCTCCCTGGTTAACAATGGTAGGATTTATTTTCATATTTTAAAAACACAGATATTGATATATAATCAGAACTGACAAAGATTCAGTTGTTTTACATTCTGGAAGTTTATAGGTAAAGGTTATCTGCCAAACAAAATTAATTTTTAATTCTTAAATTCTGAACTGCCTTAAGTATCAAAATGTAAGTGTCAACAGGTTAAAAGAATCCTACATAGAATTCTGTCATAATGTAGGAAGGAGTAGGCACATGGTTGGAGAAGTGACTGGTATTTTAAATAATTTATCTTCTAGATTTGCCACTGTAGAAGAGCCAAGGAAGAGAAACTTCAGCAGGTGATAGCAGTGCACAGCCAGTTTCATGCTTCATAGGTAAGTTGCATTCCAGAAGGCTTGTGTCTCAAGCCTGTTGCCTGACTGAAGTGTGCTTACCACTGCCTGTTGAGCCAGCTTTAAGCATGCCACCATCATTATAGCTCTTATGCTATGTAACATATAGAATATTTTGCATTATATATTAAGCATAGTGTTATATACATAAGCATATAGCCAATAAAAATCTTTTGGATATTTTCTCACTATGATGTCGGCTTAAATGAAAAGTTTTTTTTCAACATCTGATAACTACTGATGTATTGTAAACTGTAATTGGTTCCTTTCTCTCAGCTGATGTGTGAGTATACCATATCCTCATTAGTTTCCTTTGTCTTTGCTTCCTTTAAAATGAACTTCTGTCTCCTTTCCATCTCATGAGGATTTTTCCAATAACATTCTGGCCAATCCCCTGACCAGGGTTTCTCCTTCCTGCACAGTACTGACAGACTAATCTTCTTAAAATACCACTTCATGATGTAATTTCTCTACGCTAGAACCTATAGTGGGCCCCTAGCAATAACGGTATCAGTGCCAAATTTCTCTCTGGTTTTAAGCCTGCTATAATCTGCCACATATTTGAGATTATCCATTTTAATTTTCCATTTTTCCCTTACGCTATCTCATGTGTCATGTTCTTTTGTCTACACCATGTCTTTGTTCATGCTCTCACTTGATCTCAGGACATCCTTTTCTTTTCCATCTGTCTTGGCAGGGAATGATTTGGTTGTAAGAATTAATTCCCACCCTGACAATTAAAAAGCTGTGTTATTGGGTAATGCTGGATACACTAGAACTAAGTACAAGAAAGTACAGCTCAGCCACCAGAGAGTGAAAACATGACTCAAGGCCACAATAACCAAAGCAGCTCCTCTTCCTCACACCCTTCCATCAACAGTTCAGGCAACCAGTGGAGACCGACAGGGGACTCGCTACAAATCCCTGAGAAAGAAATTGGCTGGGATGGGTGGTGTCCATCCTGACCTCAGCAGTCTGGCTTGGAGATTGGTGTCATGTCTCTGCCCACTCAGCTGGGCTGAAGGAGTGGACTTTGAGGAAGGGAGCATAGGAGAGCCCCTAAAAGAGAGCAGACTACAGGGAGGGAAATCACAGGCATTTCTGATCTCCAGGACTCCCTTCTCTCAACGAGGTTGTGTTTAAGATTAGGGCCAGCATTGTATTGTTTTACACCTTATTTTACAAATTATGCTGATTTTTAGAGAGAGAGAGACAGGACGAGGGAGAGAGAGAGAAAAACATTGATAATAAACTATTGATCTGCTACCTCATGTGACCTAGATTTTATAACATAATTACTTAGAAAGCCTCTTCCCAGCCTTCATTTTGCAAATACAAAGAAAGTGGGAAGGAAAAAATGGAGCTCTTTAGACCAGCGGTTGCCAACCTTTTGGACCTCACGGACCACCGGTTGGTGACCGCTGCACTAGACAACTCCCAACCAACTGAGCCACACCGGCCAGGGCAAGGGTTGAGTATTAATATCAAGTGTGCCTTTCTCACAGCTTGAGAAAACGACAGGCACTGAGCAGTTGCTTACTTAGATGAACATGCTAGAGTCCTTTCCCACCTCTTTCCTTCGTGGTCAAGTTATCTTTATAGGTAGATCTTACTGGGATGAAAATTTCTTAGGTTTTTTAAAATTTCTTTTCTTTCTAGATTTTCCTGAATACATGAACTGCTGCAAGAGGAATGGGACACATAACTAAGCACATTTATATTTATGATTTGCAGATTGGCACTTCATCACAGCAGCTGACTTCACAGTATACTGTATAGATTGTATACAGAACTAAGACTGATTTTGTACACATCAGAATGATAGCTCTGATCTTGACTTTGAGAAATTTTTCTGCGCTATTTGCACTAAAAATGTTTATTTATTATTGATAAATCCTATCATATTTAAGTTCCACTGCTCCTCTCTTATTGGTTATTTCCATGTAATTTTGGCTAGTTTCAATATTTTATAAAATTACTTCATTTAAATTTGTATTTTTAATTTGAAATGCCTAGTTTCTTTATCAAAAATGGTTGGTTTAGATTTTTTTCCCCTCTCAGCCTTTTATGAAAAATTACTATTTTCAACAGTAGAAAGACTTATTTTTCTTCTTTCTTTCTGGATAATAAAACTTTCAAAAACAATTTCTTTTAAATATTCCAGGTGTCAGTAAACATTAAACCTGCCAATGTGCCATCTCAAGAAAGTAACTTTTAATACGTATAATAAACCAAAAGAATAAACCAGCTGTTTATATATTGTTGTTTTATTTTTAAAACTAAAGATGCATTTAAGAAGCAATACAGGTAAATATTTCACCTAATAGAAGAAAATTGTCTTTTATTTAAACTGGTCCAACATAAACTTTCATGCAAATTTTTAATAGAAGTATGTGATGTGGTTGGATAAGAATAGGCTGTCTAAATTACTAATGTTAAAGTTAAAAACAACTTTTGTTAATAAATAGTAAATCTGTACCTAATTAGAAAGTCAGTGAAATTTTCTGACCTTTACTATGAGTTAGCTTTTCATAAGAGAAAAACTATAATAAATGAAATTAATATTTAATTTTCAGAGGTTGAATTTATAGTTAACTTAATTGAATTTTTCATTTACCTGGTACTATGTTCAGCAGTTTGTCTCTATTCCCTATTACAGAATGAACACATTTAATGGATAGCTGTAAAAGCTAATGAGAAAATGTATTCCCGAGGCTTGGTAGATAGTACCTAAATCACAAAACAACCTAATGTATACTTTGTTTAAAATTCATCCCAATGTGCTTGTCATTTCAAACACCAGCATACAGTACAGTTTGTCTTTTCTTCATTTTTCTGTTCACCCAGAAAATATTTTTGGCAATAGAGTTTTAGGAAAAACAAAATTATCTTCTTAGACTTGAAATATATTTAGTATTTGGTCTGTGTTTAGGGCTAGTATTCACATGGACTTTAAAGATGGACTTTGGATAAAGAAATGATCTTTTATTAATTGCCTGTCTTCCTCGCACTGCTAGGGTGTGCCGTTTGATCTTCAAAATGACCAGAGGAGGAAGGTATAGTAACTACTCTGGATTTATAGATAGGTGAGGTCACTTCTAAGGTTATGGCGGAGTCTTTGGGGTATTCAGAAACCTTTCCTTATTGTTCTAGTCAGTAGAGCTTCAGTTTTCCCTGCGGTCACTGCAATGGAGGGCATAGTGGTCCCAATCTTTTGCCAACAGGTAGTTTTCTTATATACCAGGTAGATCCCAGAATCAGACACCAGCAGACCACAGCTGTTCTTCAAGGATGTCAGTTCACTTGATCCAGTAATATCATTTAACACCTACTGAGAATGAGGCATTGTGGAAATATTATACAAATACAGGTAAGACCTGGTTTAGCTCAGCAGTTCTCAACCTGTGGGTCGCGACCCCTTTGGCGATAGAACGACCCTTTCACAGGGGTCGCCTAAGACCATCCTGCATATCAGATATTTACATTATGATTCACAACAGTAGCAAATTACAGTTATGAAGTAGCAACGAAAATAATTTTATGTTTGGGTCACAACATGAGGAACTGTATTTAAAGGGCCAGAAGGTTGAGAACCACTGGTTTAGGTGCTTATCTAAAGCAAAAAAAATTTTTTACATAGTCTCTTCAGCCACATAAGTAATTCATCATAATATATTTGTTCTTTTTTGTTACTGTTGTTATTCCTCACCCTAGGACATTTTCCATTGATACTTTAGAGAGTGGAAGAGAGAGGGAAAGACAGAAACATCGATTGGTTGCCTCCTTCATGCAACCAAGGTATGGGCCCTTGACCGGAATCAAACTCGGGACCCTTTGGTCTGCAGGCCAACTATCCACTGAGCCAAACCATCTAGGCTAGGGTGTATATGTTTGTTCTTTAAACTATTCCAGTTTTTTTCTATACCAGTTAACATAGCTTGGTTTCTCCTTCCAAAATTAATGTATTAGATAATCTCCTTACAACCCAGTCACTAAAAAGAGGAGTTTAATCGTCACTGTCAGCATGTAAAACAGAGACACATTCGTTCAGATATAGGTTATATAAGTCATCCAGGATAGGAAAAGTCTGCATTTGAGTCTGCCTGTGTGAATTTTGGTTCTGTTACTGCAACAGGAATTAAGTGACTCTTCTTGTAACTTTATGGCTATACTATTTTCTTCTTATATGTTATTTATCTCTCTCCAACAAGGCAACTTTTGTTTCACTAGATGTCTCTTCAGAAGTTAAGGTCACCCAGTAAAGTCCCATTTCAATGGGCAGGGGAATAATTCTGTTTCAAATGTGCATTTTAGTAAAGCAAGCTTTGCAGAACTAATTCCAGCAGTCAGAGATGTAACAGTGTAATTTAAAACATGTTAACCACGTACAGTTTCCGAAGTGGCAGAACTTACTCCACTGGTTAAGTAGAAACAACCAAATTCTCTAGTTCTTAATTGGGATTTTCCCTCATTGAAATATTGCCTACTGCCCGGCCAGCATGGCTCAGTGGTTGAGTGTCAGCCTATGATCCAGGAGGTCATGGTTCGATTCCCGGTCACGGCACATGCCCGGGTTGCAGGCTCGATCCCCAGTGTGGGGCATGCAGGAGGCAGCCGATCCATGATTCTCATCATTGATGTTTCTATCACTCCCTCTCTCTTCCTCTCCGAAGTCAATAACATTATATATTAAAAAAAAAAATACTAACTTTACACTGTTACACTTCAGTGGTGGTTGACCCACACTCTTGGTAATATTGTCTCTGGACTAGTAATCAGAGCTTGTTAATAAGAAAACTAATAGGTTCTGAATTCATATATACTAACCAGAGAGGAAATGTTCCTTCTACTTTATTAGGTATTTGACCCGTGTTAGAGGAAAAAGTGAGTTATAAGTGTTAGCATTTTTTAAAACGTGAGGAGAAATAAGATATTCCAAAATAAGGCAACAAGATTATTATAACAATTCAAAAAATATTATCTAAGGAAAAGAGTGATCATGAAACCTGATAGATAAGCTGAAGCAATTACAAAGCTCTTCAGTTACAGAAATAGACAGACCTATTAATCAAAAGGTTACATCTCAACACTGCCCTCTGTTGTTAGAAGTATTAATGACAGGCAGGTAGGATGATAATGTCAAATGTTTTAGGAAATAAAGTATGCATCAGGAAATGAAGTAAGTGGGAAAATGAAGATAGCAGGTGTGCAGGCAGAGGGTCAGAGCATTTTTTGAGCTGATCAGGTACATGCTGTGACCAGGAAAGTTTATGTAGATAACCTTATGTGATGCTAGAGGTCATTCATTGTTCTGTAGTGAATAAAACTTCCATAGACTAGAATAATTTTTGAAATGGGATAATACCCTTAATATTAATTGACCAAAAAAAAATGTATACTTCCTGTTCTTCAACACCTAAGGAAACTAAGAGTTGGACTTCCCCCTCCTTTTCATTGCTATATTTTATAATTATCGATTACACGTACCATTTCTCGAGTTACTTTTTATTTTAAATTGCACTGTTCCCTTATTTTGGAAGGTGTTTTTTGCATGTCCTTTATATTGGAACTCGAGGGAAGCTTCAGGCCATTAGAAACACGGCTTCGTCAGAGTCCCGGTCCTTGGCGCTGTCCTCGCTGGGCGCACACTCCCCTCCGCTTGGAGAGCGGCAGCTTAGATCCTCCACGCCAGACTCCTGATCGCTGTTGGCTGACAGGTCTGGGTCCGAGCTTTTCAAGTTGTCCTGGGTGAGGATCAGAGCAGAGTCTTCGTCGCCTTGGGAGGGGCTCCTAGATGGGAATGACTTCATGTTCCCACTGTAGTCCTGGGGAGTGTTGGCTGCGCTGTTGTCCGAGGTGGAGAACCCCGAGTGTTTGCTGGGCTCAGTTGGCTTGCTCTTCACTTTGGAGCAATTTAACTGGACTTTTTGGATTTTTTCCAGCCTCTAAAAAAATAATTTCAGGGGAAATCATAAAGAATCTTTTTTACATATGCATACCTTTAGTAACCATTACCTTCCAGCTGAGTATAATGTTAAGAACGGGATTTAGAAGGACTTGGGTTCAAAGGTACACTATGACTTTGGACAAAATAATTAGGTCCTGTGAGGCTTGGTTTCTTCATCTGTAATATAAGGATGGTAATACCTGCCTCAGCATTGTTTTCTATAAAATGCAAAAACAGTAACAGAAAGCACCTGGTAGTCAGTAGTCATCCTTCCTTCTATACCTATATGCCACATTTTGTTTACCCGTTGATCAGACGATCAACATTTGGATTGTTTGGAATGCGTTTTACCAGTTTTCATCCTTTGATGTCAGTGAGGAAGACATTCATTCAAAAAGCATTCATATTAAGTTATGTGTAAAAGTACTGTACTAAGTGGTACAGATCCAGCTATAGGGAATTTTGTGTAGAGGCAGAGTTCCTGTAATGTAGGAATTTAGAAGAGGCAGGATTATTTCATAGGGCGGGGTGCTGTGGTTAGAGGGAGGAGATCAGAGGAAGCTGCAGGGAGGAGGGAGCATGCACAGGACAAGGAATTCAACTTGGACATGACGGTTAGAGCATTCTGGCAGCAGGGACAGTGAGTAGAAAAAGGAAGGAAGGTGTCAGTTATGCATAACAAGCAGAGAATGGTTAAATTTGATCAAGGGGAGTAGTGGAGAATGAAGTGTAAAAGGTAGGTTAGACGAGTGGGGGAAATCTCATGTGTAAGGCTAAGGAAGTTCGTTATAAGGAAAAAAGAGGTTTTAATTACAGTGCTTTTAGGGAGTTAAGTAATTTTTATTAGTAGTTTAATAAGAATACTGGAATAGATTAATACAATCATCAGCTTTTCATAAAGCTTGGATATCTTTGGGAAGAGTAGATAAAACTGACCCAATGATGACATGAGTGGCCTTTGAATGGCAAGGCTTTTAGCACAACTCCAAAATTCTAAACACGTAACTTATGCTTCATTGTTAATTCTACACGTTCTTTAATTCAAGGTCTTTCCGCCCTATTACAGTCTCAGGGCACTCTAAACATTCTCCGTCGGAACCTCTAGGCTCGGAGCCCTCGCATCAGGGTTTTTTATGTCATTATGTACTAATAATTAATTCTCCAGAAAGAATTCATGTTAGTGCTCCCAAATAACAGTAACAACAAATCCCGACCTATTGTAGGAACAGCTGAGCAGTTCGGCGCACTGTGGAAGTGAGCCTCAAACCGGATGTCTGAATGTCTGAAATGTATTCAGTGCTGCTTAGGTT